AAATCTCGCTGATACTGCCACCCTTTAACACAGTTCCTTATGTTGTAGTGACCCCCAATCATAAAATTATTCAAGTTGTTACTTTATAAGTGAAAAATTGCCACTGTTGTGAATCCTAGTGTAAATATCTGATATGCAGCCCCTGTGTAAAGGACGTTTGACCCCCCCAGGGGTCACATCCTATCAGTTGAGGACCGCTGCTGCTTATTGAGATAAAGCACATAGACAATTCTTTGAATTCTTTATAAAAACAGTTCTTGTGACTAAAGCAAATTCTTAATTAAATGATACTGTAGTTCATTCATTCGTATTGTTCTGTAGAGTTGGAACAATGTCTTAATGTGGTGCCTGAGTTTATAGTGTCTTCTACTACCTCCCCTCCCCCAGACAAGGTTTCCCTGTGCAGCCCTGGCTGTGCTGGAACTATCTCTGTAGACCACACTGGCCTTGAACTCACATAGAGCCGCCTATTTCTGCCTCCTGAGTACTGGAATTAAAGGAAGCACTACCATGGCCCAACTTGGAGTAGTAAATTCTCCACATGTCATTAGCATGGACTGAATGTGAACAAGGGAATGTGGATCCATACTATTTAATCCATGTTTGGATATGATTTAAAGGCATTAGCCTTTAAACAAAGAGCTTGACCTCTTTGTTTAACTATATCTTTTGACCTATAGTTTTCGACCTCTTTGTTTGGTACTATAGGTACCAAAACAGCACCAAATAATAATTTATGATGTACCTCAAGGAAGACTACAAAGCCACTAAGAGTTACAGTGTATGAAACAAAGTAGAAGAATTTTGTTTACTTTACACAATATTCTCCATAATTATTTGTTGTGAAGTAGAGTGTGTTTAGTGTATGTGTGCTTGCGAGTGTGTGTATAAGGTCTGAGGACAAACGGTTAGAGTCACTTCTCTCCTTCCACTGTGGGTTCCTGAGGTTGAGCTCAGATAATCAGGCTTGTACAGCAACCTCTTCTACCCAGAGAGCTATTTTACTAGTTCATTAATTTTTTGGTTTTTCGAGACAAGGTTTCTCTATGTAACAGCCCTGGCTGTCCTGGAACTATCTCTTGTAGACCAGGCTGGCCTCAAACTCACAAAGATCCACCTGTCTCTGCCTCCCGAGTGCTGGGGTTAAAGGCATGTATCACCACCGTCTGGCTATAAATTGTATTTTTAATACTATAAAATAAAGTATACAGATAACTTTTAAACATTTTATTTCTATAAATGTAATGTTTGTGATTTCAAAAAGAAAGTAAAAATATCCACAAAGATTATTTGACAGTGAAATTTTCTCTGTTCTCTTAGTAGTTAGATTAAAAGTAGGATTTTCTTCTTCCTCTATTGTATACATCTCTTCTGTAAGTGTAAGATCATATATAATTGTTTTTCATTTTATGATTAAGCTTGTAATGCACTACACTAGAAGAGAAAAACAGTGTATACTTTTTGACTCTATAGTACAGGTTTTTATAAATTCATGTGGGCTTTATCAATTAACAAATTAGTTCAAGTTTTTAAATTTTATATTCTGAATTGTCTACTTGAGTTATCTGACCAGTGCAACATGAGTCAGGTAGATTTATTCCCTGTGCTACTTTAAAAGAATGATGCTCAGTGTATAGGAAGTTTAGATAATGACCCAGCAGGTCATGTTTTTTAAAAATCCATTGCTAACAAGCTCTGCGCATGTGTTTCTAATAATGATGCTTTTGCCTTAGTAAGACGACTGGGTTTGGCATCTTGTGCCTCCTCTCACACTGCTGTTTACTTGCAGCAAGTTGTTTGACTGATGTCCGTTCCCAAGTGTCGCAAGGCCACCCCTCACAAGAGCAGGTCTCCTCCAAGATACCCACATTTGGGAGCTGAAAGAGTAGCTCGAGATGCCCAGCAGGGGATCTCAGAAATCATGTCCATACCCCTATCATTGTGTGTCCCCTCTTAGCACCTGGTTCACACTAACCTTACAGTTGACTGATAGCTCTTTAGTTTTGTGCATCTGGCTTTCCCAGAAAACAGGAGACAACACAGCCATTCTCATCTTTATAAGTTCATATGTTAAGTGCTCACCGTGTGCCTGAAACTGTCCTCCCCTGCTGCATGCCTTGATTTGAACCTTCTATTAGGAAAAGTAAATGCTGTTTTCTCCATGCGACACAGAAAAACTAAGGATTTGATTTTAAGCAGACAGAATTCTAAACTTTAGAAAGTGAACCCAAAACTAATGTTGTTCTCAGTAAACGGGTTTAGTGATTGTATTATTTTTCTGTTGCCCTAACTAAATACTAGATAGAGGAAATTCAACTAGAGACAGGTCAGTTTATTCATTCATTCATTCATTCATTCATTCATTCATTCATTTTGAGGCTGGTTAATTTTGTCTCACTGTTTAGAATACCCTGTCATAGTGAGGAAGGTACAGTGTCAGCGACAGGACACAGACCTGACAGCTGAAACAGCCAGTAACATAAGGTGACAACCAAGAAGCAGAGAACTCAAGTCAAAAGTGGGCCAGCTACCCTTGGCATTTCTCCTGGCCTAAGGCAGCTAACACTACTGTCTCCCAAAGCCTCCCAGCCTCTGCCCCCAGCCCTGACCAGTATGGGGCTATCAGTAGGGAACCTCATGTTAAAATACATTGAACCTGTGAGGAATATTTCACATTCAAATCACAGCACTTCATCCCTTGCCTTCAGAGGCTCGTGGCCACTTCATAATTAATACTAACTTTACTCAATTTAGCTTTAAGAATTCCCAACTGGAATAATTCAAACATTGTCCAAAAATCCAGTCTCCCGAGACTCAGGGCAGATTCTTAGCTGTGAGCCCTGTAAAACCAGAAAACAAGTTGTATTCTTACAATGTTCAATAGCATGGAGTAGACACTGTCATTCCAAAAGCGAAGAACAGGAGACTAGCAAGGAAAACTTAGACCAAAGCAGGACTGAAACCTGTCGGGCAAACACCCTGGTGCTCCACTCCCAGCCTATGGACCTTTGGTGGCTTCATTTGAGATCCCGTGACCTTGAGTAGCCTCTTGCCTGTAGCACGCACAGCCGGCTCACTCAGTTTCTGCAGTCTTTCTCATCAAATGCCCCACACTCTTGTCACCTCCGTTGTTCTGTAGTCTCCATTGAAATTTCAGCTTCTTCTTTTCCATGGTTTTACAGTGTGAGCTTCTTAGGTTGTCTTTCCAGTCACTCCAACCCTGTCGCACACTGGCCTTTTCTCTGGAATCTTGGGGGTGAGCTTCCATTGCCCCGTAACTGTCCAAACAAGTTCTGACGCCAGCTTCTGATGCTGCCTAGCCCTCCAGGAGTGTGGCTGCAGTGGCCTCCAAGCACCCGCAGCCACACCAGAGGAAATCCTTCTCTGTGCAGCCCTTTTGAAGTAGGGCATCTGTGTAGTGCCATTCTTCACTTGGGCTTAGTTTTTACATTGAAGGTTCTCTTTTTAAGTGAAAGATTTCCAAATGAGTCTACAGTTTTATACTCCGATATCTTCAATGGGTGGGATCACTGGGTAAGCACCTTTCTTTCTGTCTCCTTAGCAAGTATCATTGCTTTCTCCCTACTTGCATCCTCAGCCCTGGTCACATGTCTAAAGGCGCTCTGCTCTTTAATGTCAGATTTTTTTCTTTATCGTTCTGTTCTGATTTTGGTTTTGAATTCCTACTCTAAACCTAACTAAGTACAGTAAGCAGCGAACACACCTTTGCCTGGATGTTCTGCTATCTTTAAAGTATTTTCTGCCAGACAACCCACTAGGTTTGAATTTAGCTTCACTTGTACAGGGGTACAGGGTACAGCAGAACTCAGCCATATTTATATTTTGTCAATGATCTGTAGTTCAGTTCCTGATAAATTGTTGCTCCCTCTGAAAGCTCTTGATTACAGTCTTCTGCCCACATTCCTGTTGGCATTCTGGCCTCCCACACTCGCACTGGAATGTCTAGTAAGTTCTGCTTTCAGCGTTCAAGGACTGCAGCTTTCACAGTCTTCCCACAAACCATTGCTAAAACTGCATGGTCAGGTTTCTCAGAGCCACCAGCTCACTTATTATATGTCGTACCAATTTTATTTTTCTTTTTTTTTATTTTTGGTTTTCAAGAAAGGGTTTCTCTGTAGCTTTGGGGCCTGTCCTGGGACTTGTTCTGTAGACCAGGATGGCCTCAAACTCACAGAGGTCTGCTTTCCTCTGCCTCCTGAGAGCTGGGATTAAAGGGTGCGCCACCACTGACCAGCTCCAGTTTTCTTTATTAGTAGCTGTTGTTATGTTGCTATCATGCACTATCTAGCTAGAAACTACTTAGGAAGAAGTAGTCGATTTTGTCTCACAGCTCAGAGGATACCAGCCTTATGGGAAGTGAACAACTCAAGGTCAGGGTGGAGAAAACATGTTGGTCTATCTATCTGCATCATCATAGCTGGAGAAACAGCCCCAATAAAAACACTATATGGCCTTATCTTCTGTGTGTCTTTCTTCATTTAATTAATCAAGGATGATTTGAATTGTGCTTTCACTTCAGTGTTGTGACCTTGAGCCAGTTATGTAACTATTGACTATATCAGATTCTTGACTTAGGAAAATTCACCTCAGTATTGTGGTTTAGACTAAATAGGTTGCTAAACAGAAAACATTTAGAAACATGCTTGACTGTTTGCCATATATTGACTGTTGAAATAACTTAATAAATGAAAGTATATAAAGTAAAATGTATTCCCCTTGGTCCATCTCCTGTTTTCCCTTCTTAGCATTAACCAGCAGCGCCTTCCAGAGTGATTCATGTACCATAGAAATGATTGTTAAGATGTCCTTTCGCTAATGAAATACAAGTTGGGAGCTAAGTATTCACAGTGTTCTAGAAGATGGGAGTATGACAAGAGGGGAGACCAGCATTCATCTCAGGTCGGCTGGGGATGCAGTATCTCTACAGCACCTAAACTGCTTGCCACATCTACTGACTTTTGCATGTTTATTTCTTTTAGGATATGATGTTTCAGCTTCTCCGAGGTCTGGACTTTCTTCATTCTCACCGGGTAGTGCATCGTGACCTAAAGCCACAAAATATCCTGGTGACCAGCAGTGGACAAATCAAACTGGCTGACTTTGGCCTTGCCCGCATCTATAGTTTTCAAATGGCCCTTACGTCAGTGGTGAGTAAGAGCACAGTCCATTCATTAAACTTAATTTTCCTGTTTGAAACGACAAACTGCCCCCTTCATGTTCCTAATGTTTATTGGTCCATGAATGGAATGTCTTAGCACTTTTTGCCAGCAGTGGGGAAGGAGAAAGGGCTTTGCTTACTGTGGATACATCTGACTGGCATTGCTGCAGAAAAGCCTGTTGGCATCTCAACTACTGGGTAGTAGTCAATTGCAAATTTCTAAATGCTTTTTGCTATAACTTGTGTTTTTAGAGTTGTGTAGATAACGATGGGAGATAGAGAAGGCAGAAGACATGTTACCTGTCTGCAGCAGTGTAACATGAGAAATAGCCACACCGCCTGCGCAGGTGGGATAAAGCAGCCCTTTGACGCTGTGATGCCATCAAGAAAGACATTACCTTGACAGTGAACTTGAACAACCTCTGAATGATGAATGGATAGCACTGCCTAGCCAGGTGAAGGCTTCCTGTGAGTCAGAGTAGAGACAACCTGAACCTTTGTTTTGGCAAAGAGCTTAAAACTTCAGAGCTGGAACAAGTCCTTCCTTTAATTAACTCCTGTTTCTCTTTATAGCTCGTCTTGTTGAATTCTACACTCAGGCTCTAAGAAGAGCACCCCAGTAGCTAGTATTAATATCCTTTTCTTTGAAAATCATGCTTAGCATGAAGTAAATTCATGAGTAGATGGAAGTGTTTCCTTACTGTGATTCTAGCAGGCAGGGGATGGGTGCAGAGAACACAGCTGTCAGAATGTGCCCTCAGGCATATCACATTACAGCTTAGGAGACAGAGTCCATCTTCCATCTTCGGTCTCAAAGAGTTTCTGAAACCAGAGCCTGGCCTGGTGGGTGCTATCCCTGAGAAATGTGAGGTGGCATCCTTGGTCATTGTTGTGACAGGATGACACAGCTCCATCTCCCGACCTTTCACACAGAGAAACAAGCAGCAGCAGCTTTCCCCTGTTCCTGCAGTGTTACATGCAAAGTTCAAGTCTGGAAGTGGAAACCAGGGAGAAAAGTAACTTGGTCAAAAAGAGCCTCCACGTTATAGAAAAGTTTCTGGTCCTCTTTTCCTTTCTCTGCCAAGCACAAATCCCATATGCTAAAACTCCCCTCCATTCCCAGTGCTGGATACTTCCCTAAGGCACAGGAGCAGTCTGAAATATGCTGTGCTCTGTAAACAGAAATCCTACCTATCCTCTTTGCCCTGTGTTTGCCAGTACCTTAGAGAAGACAAGACCCAAGCACATTTAAAAGATGCCTCAGTGTTGGGTGGAGTGAAGCAAGCCTTTGTATAAGGGCACCAGAAAGGGCTGCATCTGTGGGCTTCCCCAATGGGAAGGGTGAGGTAGCCTTTGAGTTTCCTTAGGAAGTTACTGTCCTTGTTTTTGAGGGACCCTGGGGAGAAGTTTGAATAGGCTTTGTGACTCCTTGGGGAGCAAATGAGGGAAACCAGCCCTTGGGCACATTAATTGGGGGAAGGATGAGCTGAGCCAGCAGGATTCTTCATCTTAATCCCCCTAACTTGGCACTAACAAAAATAACCATGAATAAAAACAGAAAATCCAGATGGGTTTTGTTTTGATATTTTGACTGTTGTTAAATTTGAAGAATGGTAATCCAACTTGTGAGTAACTTCAGTTGATAACACATTCTTGCTGGAAGTTGGTATTTTTAAAGAGGAAAGTGCTGACTCTTTCATATCCTAAGAAAAGGACAATGGCAAACAGATCTGATATTTGATGTCTAGTTTTATTGTCTATTCTATATTTACTACAGTGACATAATAGAAGGTGTTAGCAACTGGGAAAGACTTTACTTGGAATTTAATGACAATATTAACAGGCATGTTTTCTTTAGGGGTCTGCATTTAAAAAATTTTCCACTGTTAGTATTTTTTCTCCTTACAGGAAGAATCCACACAATAAAATGATGCTTGGAGTTTTCATACACATACAAAAACAGAATCACTGTCTTGGAGTTTTCATACACATACAAAAACAGAATCACTGTCTTTCAAACTGAGCTGCTGTGCTAGTTTTAGTGTTTTTTAAATAGACTGCGCTCCAACTGCCTAGAAATACCCATTTACAGTAGGTTATGTCCCATAGGGAAATAGAAAGCCACATACTATGCAGAGTGACTAAATATTTGCAAGTTACCTGACCCGAGACCACCGTCTTAACTGCTGTGAAAAAATGACTTTCCAGGCTTGACTCACGCAGCCTTTTTTTGTGAACCCTTGCAGAAGCTGACTGTTGTCCCCTTAGGATTGCTAACAGATTGATTCTGGGCGGCAGGGTGCAGGCACCTGTGTACCAAGGCAGCCAGAAGAGGGAGTCGGATCCTTCAGAGCTTGTCACTTGTGGGGTGTCTGGATTGTTATGTGGAGCCAGGGCTCCAAACTCCAGTCCTTATGATCGCTCAGCAGTCACCTCTAACTTCTGAGCCTTTGTTCCAGTCCCTAGAGAAATGCTTTCATATAATCCATCCTAGTGTTAGTTATCTGGGACTTTTATTTATAAAGTGGTGACACATTTAAAGAGAGATACTCACTCTTGTTCAACCTGGATGTTTGCGTGAGCATTTAGGGAATACTTCTTAACAAATAAGTTAACAAATACCAACGTGTAGACGCATGCACTTTGAATCATAAGAGAAAAAGGGAAAGAATTGCTTATGCGTTTAATGGTTTCAGTATTCTACATCCCAATCCTCCGGTGCTACACTGAAGGACCACTTTCAAATGCTCAAGCTCATTTTTACCCCGGTGTTGACTGGGTCATTGGCAAGAATTTCTGTGCAAAATAATGCCGTGATTGGGTCCCATGTTAGGACTAAAGGATGGTTGGAACTTGGGTCCACAGTTAGTTGGATCTTAAATTTACAGTAATACTCTTTGCTGAATTAATCACCGGGGTAGATCAAACTTTCTATCCTGAACAGAAGACGGAGGAGGATACCGGTACATGTGGTTATTATACTTCTACTTATTTAAGGACATTTTTTTTTTAAATTCAGATGTGTTTTGATGTTAGCAAGCTTTAGAAGAGGTTTTGTATTCTTCAAAAATAATTAACATCTTCCAAATAAAAGAATAGAATTACTAAAAAGTTTTTATTCTTCAGCTTTCCATGTGGACATATATGTATGAGTTTTGCTTTTTTGCTTGTTTTGATTATTAACAATAGCTTGTATTCTGAGGTCTTTGTAAAAACTTTGTGATGTTTTCACATGTAACCTTCCTCCCAAGCTCGTATTCTCATCCACCCTTATCTTCACTATTAAAGATGTTCTTGACCTCAAAATATTTTCTCCATGTAGAAATCACCAAAAACAATAATAAACCCAGTGAGATTGTTAGACATAAAAGTGCAGAAACAAATCACTTGCAGGTTTTCAACTGCAGTAATAAGATTCTAAATATTGCATTGCTTAGTTATCATTTATTTACCACTGCAAGTCTGACACCATTTAAACTGCATACACTTCCTGAGACCAGTGCAGTGTGTGCATGCACATGCTTGTGGTGTGTGTGTGTGTGTGTACGTGTACGTGTACGTATACGTGTGTGCGTCAGTTTTGTTAGCACTTGGTAAATACTGAAAAAACTATTCAGTTTCAGAGAATTTTATATGCTTGGAAAAAGAAAGGAAATGAGGTTTTGACTTTCAGTCAGTATACAATCATCTGTATGTGCCAGGCTCTGTGAACCTGAGAAATAATGCAGAGCTAAAGCCAACAAGGTCTTTGCTCTCATAGCTTACAAGCAGAATTGGGAGATGAGGCTGAAAGAGATGGCTTAGCAGTTAAGAACACTGGTGGCTCTTCCAGAGGACCCAGGTTCAGTTCCCAGCACCCACACAGCAGCTCACAACTGTCTGTAACTCCTGTTCCAGGGGATCTGACACCTTCACACCAATGCACATAAAATAAATTTAAAATAAAAATATTGGGAGTCAGATCTGAATATAGCAGTCACACAACGTAATATATCCTTAGAAACCAAGGAAATCTGGGAGGTGGTGACCCATGCCTTTACTCCCAGGACTCTGGTGGCAGAGACAGGCAGATCTCTGTCAATTCAATTCTGGTCTACAGAGCAAGTTTTAGGACAGCTAAGACTGTTACACAGAGAAACCCAGTCTCGAAAAACCAAAAAAGAACAAGAAACTGAGGAAAATACAACGAAGTAATAGATTAGAGTTCTGTGTGACCACACAACTCCTGGGTTTACCCAGGCTGGAGTCAGAGAAGCCCACACCATTTACCTGAGCCAGAATATGTGGTGTTCACAAAGTCACCCTCCTTTCAGAACCTGCTTGTCTGCAGGTCCATTAGATGTGCCATGCATCCAGTCCTCTCTTCATCGCATGACACCCAGTTGGTATGCTCAAGTGACAAAGTGAAGTAGGACCAGAGATTGGAGAACAATGTCATCTTTTACACAAGAGAGGAAATTCTTTTATGTTTGTTTCTTCTCCGTGCATGTCGTATTTACTATGGAGACCTGGCAGGTTTGTGCTGCGGCTTCAGCAGCGGAGTTGCTCCCACAGAAGCCTCCAGAGGCTGCCAATGAATACTGAGTGGCTCAAACCAAGAGCCTTACATGAGTATCATGGAAAAACCCCAAAGCTCTGCCACCTGGGCACCTCAGAAAAAGTTCAGGACACACCTCTGAAGTAGGAAAGCCTCCTGTGACTCCTTCCTGTCTCAGTGTCTTGCCATGACACAGCCAGGTCTGTTTTGTTAAAGCTTCCAGTTGCCAGTACGTATTTCCTACCTAACAATGGGGTGTTTGTGCCGGTTTCGTTTTCACTTTCACCAGTGAGGAAAGTGGAACACAATGGGGGCAGTGCAGAGCTGGGAACAGGACATGTTTTCTTTAGAATTCCCAGGGCCGCGTATGTGGAAAATGTCTGAGCCAAAGCAAACATGAAAACCCATCCAGATCCTCTGCTGCTCATTCTCAGTGGCAAGTGGGTGTGCTT